TTCTTGTTTGTTCTTTTCAATGACTGTTCTCTATCGCTATTAACTTTCTTTTACACCTTAATAGGACTTCATATCATACTTTCTTTCCTCCTTCATATACTAACAATTAATTTTTCAAATCTTACTTTTAAAATTTTTTCCACTCCCTGTATTCTTACTAGAATAACTACTAAGCTTTATGAATCTCTAGATAGTTAATGTTACACTATTGCTGTTGACTAATATTGTGCTATTAGTAGAGGTAAAGTTGGTTCATTTAGTAGATATTTACTGTAGGTCAATAGTAGGACAATATTAGGTTTATCTGAGTGCTCATACTGTAATTATACATTCCTATGGACAAGTCTGTTACTTTATTGGTCATTAGATTTTCCAATATTCAGTTTGTATGTAATGCTATATTGATGCTGATTTTAATATTATGCCCGAAGTGTCATAGCTGTTGCTATTAATTGGCTTTCTTGTGGGGCCAACATGTAGTTTGCTGAGGAGTCATTGACAATACTGTGCCCCATTCTGGGAGAACTGGGTCCTGGGCCAAAATGCTGCAACCTCTCCTCTCATGTAAATGGAGGTGGTTGGACCCAAGAATTAATTTGTTCTTTGATGTGGACCTTTTCATCAGGAGAATCTCCATCAAGGGCAACATGATGTTTCTGAACAATGTCCTCAAGGCAACAGGAGCAAAAATTCATTCTAGGTCTCAGCAAATGCTAACTCTTTCCTCCACAATATACGAGCTATCTTCTTCAGGTTCACCTCTTTGCAGATCCGACAGTCCCCTTCAGAGCACCGCTTGTTTACCCTTCATGATTGTGCGGCCGGCTGGCTGGGAGCAGGAGCGTTTATCAGGAAGAGTATCAGGTCACATGTTGCCAGGAGTTCGTAGAGGTTTCAACCCATAATCAGCTGGCTCCAAGGCATGGAAGGGAAACAGTCATCCCAGAGGAGAAACAATATGACACACACAAGGTCACAAAGGCAGCAAGAGCCTGAGGGGCTTCTTGAGGGGAAACCTTTGTTCTGAGGCTTCAGGGGAACTTTCCATGGAGGGCCCAGGCCAGGTCCTGCACTCCAAATGCCCCTGCTGTGTCAGCCAACAGCAAGAAGGAAGACTCTGATGCTTCCAAGTGGACCTAGTGTTGTCACTAATGAGCCCCAGCTGTCCAGCTGCCTGCATGCTCAAGGACTTCTTTGGCTCTTGGGGGAAAGGGGCGTTCAGAAACCCAGTCCTGGTGAGGATGTGTGGGCTTGCAGCCCTGGGTGAGAGGCCTGATGGGCTTCCTGTTTCTGAGGTCACCAGTGGCAGCTGGGCTGCTGTGGTTTCTCAGTGACAGACACCATGCTGTGGCACCCTACGCAGGTGGCCCCAGTCTGTGAGGCTGCCTGGCTCAGCTGACACCACGCCCTCCCCCGCAGTGCTGTGACTGGCCACTCTGGGGAAGGCTGTCTCTGAAGTGTGTCCATTCTGGAGTGCAGCCAGAGAGGATGGAACTGGAGTGGGGTTTGCTCACCCCTCTGGTACAGAGAGAAGAGGTGAGGCATCTTAGTGTTGCAGCTAGCTCCACTAGGTGGTTTCCTGTGGAGGGGAGGGCACCTGGCCCGGGCCTGGAAAGACCCCTCTCCCAGCAAGGCGATCCACAGGCTGTGGTGCCAGCATGTACTGCATCACGCTCATCCCAGCATACTCTCCTGATGGGGGACTGGAAGCAAGCAGGCCAGCGAGGGCTGCGTCACAGAAAAGTCAGCTCTAGGACTCTTTTGGCACCGGATCCAAAGAGCCGAGCTCTAGAAATTCCTTTCCAAGAGACTCTCAGTGATGTGCCACAGGGGCATGTGTTATGTAGGTTGAGTGGGGCCAGCCCACATGGACTTGGCTGGAGGACTGGCCTTATGCCTCCCTGGTGTGATCCCAGAGGCAGATCCCTCACTTCATGCCTGACCTCATGCTTGGGAGTCTACCCAACAGATGAACCAGACCTCTGAAGACTCTTTAACTTCAAAAGACTACTCCAAGTCCAAATGTCAGCTTGTGTTTTAGGGGCTTGGGGAGGAAGCTAATGTCTAATAGCTGTCATGTGCTGGCCGTGTATGTGTGTGACTTCATGATAAACCGTTCTCAGCAAATGCTTGGCTGAATTGTGTAGTGGCAGGGGCGTCTCAAGCCAGGGCTTTGCTGCAGCCATGTACATGGCAAGGTTGTACCTCAAGCAGAGGGAACCTGGTCAAATGATTTTGTTCGGGGTTGACTTTGGGTAGAGATAATGTGCCCCTGTCACTTTACCTTTCGGAGTGCATTTGCTTCTTGAGCTTGCTTTTGTTAACCCTGACCCACAAGTAGCTCAAGACAAAGCTCAGTGCTGCTGCTCTTTGGTGTAGACATGGAAGAAAATCTGATTTTTCAAGCAAGATGGAGCACTATAGGCAGATTCAGTAACTTAGTTTCTTTTTTGTAGTTCAGGGATTATGAACTGGTTTTGAGATCATCTCTTCCTTCCTTCATATTGGCTAAATGAGTAATTTTGAACTAGTTATAGATGTTCTTTAGCTATGTGACTTCAGGAACATTTATGAGAATAGCATGCAGGACTAGGACTGGGCATGGAGCTTTTGGGACAAGGGTTCTAAATTAAATTTGTTGGAAAGCCTTTTTGACTTCACTGTAGAATCTGGGTAATAGCTATTTTCCACTGCACCTCCTAACTTCGGTAACAATGCTTCTTCACCCAGCAAAGGCTTCTAGAGTAGTACTCTTCAAAATTTAATGTGTGTACAAATAACCTGGGAATCTTCTTAAAGTGAATTTTCGAATTCAGTGGGCTGGACCTGCATTTCTAACATGCTTCCAGGGCAGCCGGTGCTGCTGGAAAGTGGATCACTCTTCAAATGACAATTTTCTAAAGCAGTGGTGCTCAATGTAAGGTGCATAGACCAGCAGCATCAGGAAATCTGCAAATTCTTGGGACCCACCCTGAACCTCTGAATCAGAAACTCTGGAAGTGGGGCCAGAGTGGGTTTGGGTTTTAACAAGCCCTGCCAATGATTCTGATGCATGCTCAAGTTTGAGAACCACTGTTCTAGAAAATGGATGATAGGTTATCTTTCAGAACAACATGGCCCAGGATTGAAAGTATTTCACTGTTAGAAGGTCTCCTTTGGGTCTAACCTGACATCATTGTACTTAACTACTCCAGTTCTTTCAGGCTTTCTTGAAGTTATATTTTTAAGGTCCTCATCATAGAATTTTAGGCCTAGAAGGAACTGTAAGAGATATTCTGATTCTTTTTCCCCAATGCTTTATGCTCCCATATGAATCTTATCGACCTCTGAGCTTTCAAAATGACTGATGGAAAGCATTAAAGTGCAAGTTAAGTTGAAGAAATATCCAGAACCCATTTATCATATTTGATCAGTGTTTATCACTTCTGTGTCAGAGGTTTGGGCCTCCCACTTACTTTAATTTAGAGTTTAAAGATATTTTTTACAATGCTTTATAACTTCAATACTTACAATAACATTATTTAAATTTTTTTTTTAAAAAAACAGAGCACTGGGAAAGAATAATTAAACTCTACAAGGGCTTTTAAATAGTTTTATTGGATTTGAAATTAAATAGAGGCCTATGGGAGTTGTTCTTGGGGCAATTCACGCGCAGGAGCCTACAACTGTCGTCATGTGTGGCTGCAGAAGAGGGGGCAAACAGAATGGCTACCAGGGGTGGACAGAGCATATTTAGGAGGCCAGAGAACTCAGAATGGTTTCAGACCATGAAATCCTTGCTGTATTGAGATTTTCAAACTGGAGTATATTTATAAAATTTGACTATGAGAGAATAAACTCTCTTTCAGGCTATGAGTTCTTGATAAAAGGAGTCACCCCAAAAACTACATGATTGGATTAGAGTTAGCAATTCCAGCTCCCAAAGCAGTGCACCTCTATTGCCAGAAGGCTTTCTGGTGGAGGACATAAGCAGCACAGAGGAGCCAAACAGGTTTTCCCATTTGTGCACCCAGGTAGGGGGACATCCTCTCTTAGTGCTTGCTTCAACAGATGTCTTCCCAGGAGGGGAAACTGGATGCTCCTATGAACCTTGAGTCTAGTGCTAGGTTTTCCAGGTCATGTGTATGGCTCTAGCCTTCGATGACCCACATTTATACAGAGATCACTGAAAATGCCCATAGAAATCTTCAAAGAGATTACGTTTATGTAGTTTCTAGTAGAGATCTTCCAAGTTGAGCAAAAGGATATATTTCCAGATAATTGTAAAAAAAAGGTCTAGACAAATGTATAACCAATAACAATTACCAGGAAACTCACATTGGGAAATAGCTTTTCTTTGTTTAATCCATCATTTCCCTCCCTCCTCTCCTGCCAGTCTCTTTTTGGACCTTTTCACAGTACATTAGGCAACTCAAATGATAGGCAAAGAACATAACATGCAAAAAATGAGAGAAACCAAAATTTATAAAATTGACCCATTAATCCTCAATTTGGAATACGTTGGGCTAGGAGGAAATAGAAACTCTTGGTCAAATAAACTATTTTGGTTATTATTATTACTATTATTATTATTTTGTGGTACTGGGGGATGAAGCCAGGGGTGCTCTACCATTGAGCTACATCCCTAGCCATTTTTAAAAAACTCTAAGTCACTAAGTTGCCCACATTGGGCTCAAAGCTGTAATCCTCCTTCCTCAGCCTCCCAGAGTGCTGGGATCATGGGCTTGTGGCCACACCTGGAGGTTTTAGTTATTAATGGTTGCTAGTCAGTGAACGAATCATTATCAATGGGTTGGATAATATAATGACTTACTTTTTAATAGTTATAACATTTTAAAAAATATTGAGAGTAGTTATCATTTAGGTAGATGATAAATAGTCCCCAGATGATCAGAATGGGCAACTTCTGTGCTGTTAGTCTCCATATGATGAGCCAAAGTCATAGTTTCTCCTACACCCCATTCCCCAACCCTTAACGAAGCAAGATGATAAAAATGTACCTGTCCTGCAGTGTCATACAGTCCGAGCAAGTGCTGCTTGCCTCCCACTGTCACAGTAACTAGGGGAGAAGAGAAGAGGAGAATCCATAAACAGAAGTTTCAGTCAGGATCCTTCGCATTTCTCCATGCCAGCATCTCTGGGCAGCACGGATAAGCATATGCCGTAGTCGTGTATACTATAAACCAAGTTGACAGCTTACTTCGTGAATGAAAGACAACCATAGGCTGCAGTGATGGCAGATGGTGTGAGGCAAGTCCACATTTCTCAACTACAGTGAGTATTACTGGAGCTACTAGGGCATTCTGTAGGCTGCTCATTGATTCTTTCGAGGCTCTAGAATACTGAGCTCTTGACGGAAAGGATGTAGGACCCCTTCTAGTTAGGCTGGCATCATCTTTTCTTCTGTCTGCGCTTCCTTTCAGGATACAGGATTGTGTGAGCTGCCTCTGTGGTAGAAATCTCTCTGTTTCTGTCTGTCTTTGAAAGGTTAATAAAACCTTGGAAACAAAGAATATTAACCTCCTGTCATATTTTATATTCTATAAGGGAAAGCAAATAATTAAATGAGAAAAGCTTAGCATTTATTTAATGTTTTCTAATCAAATATGAAGTTGATTAAAAACATAAAAAAATTCTGGTGCTTTAGTCCAACCAATTCTTTATGATTTTAAACACTCCAGAAGGATTGTAGCATGGTTAGGTCTCACCTACCTAAAGGGCTTATGGAGAGTGAAGAGCAGCCAGTTCGATTTACCCAGCGGGTTTCTTACCTTGTGTCCAAAAGTGAGAAGTAATGCAGGGATACCAACCACTCTGTACATGTCTGGAAATGAAATAAAGTCTCAAGTTGAAACTAAACTGAGATGGAGCAGAGTGAATGAGCCATGACACAATTCTCGTGGTGAAAGGAGAGAACAAATTCAAGTTTCCACAAAAATCAGAAATAGGAAATAGGAAGGAAAGCATGACTTTTTTCCTAAGTTGATTAAAAAAAATGTGCAAATGCAGTGTAAAGATGATTCTTGATTCCTCCTGTCATTAGTGGTGCAGGAAATGAGAGAGAAATAGAATAGTAACATTTTTCAACCATATCTCTAACACATGCCAGCCAAATTCTCTAGTTTGCTGCTCAGAGTTGCTGATCTGCTACTGATTTTTATTTTTGTTTTTAGGTTCATGAGCTACATGTATACAAAGCATTTGTTAATGCCCTTCTTTCATAGTACTTGTTTAAAAGCACTGGCTTCCCAGACACTGTACACTATTTTTCTAATCTACTCAGATCCACATGTGTGCAGCTAGATAACAGAGCTGCAGCCATGCAGATGGGCTTGAAAGCACTATTTTTAAACAATAAAGCCAGTTCTGCTCAACCCTAGTTACAATGCTGTGAGAGGACAAGCATTTACACATTTTACTTCTAGTCCTAAGTCAGGTTAGTAATAGAAATAAAGGCAACACCATGTGGCCCAGAACTCTTTGTCCTGTTTCATTTTTCTCTTCTTGTACACTGGCAGAAAAGAGCTCTGATGTTTTTGAAATCTGCCTAAATGGTTTCTTGAAAGACTAATAGGCCACCTAGTCATGGATCAAGAATGAAGGGAAGAAGTCCAGGCATTACAACATGGAATTTCCTTCCTCTGAAAGTCTGGTACATGGAGGTCAGGGGAAGCTGTTCCCGAGGCCTTCTTAGATGGTCCCAAACCCTGCAGTTCAGGGGCATCTGTGGAGTGAGCCGGAAGCCTAGTCATTCTTGCTGCCCCACTGTGCACTGCACATATTTCTAAGTGGTGGTTCTGGCTTTTGCCACTGGAGCCCTGAGCTCCTGCTCACATCTCTCTGTGTTCTTAGAGAGCAGTCCTTCCCTCCAGCCTGCTTCTCCTCAGGCCTCACCCCTTCCTCCTTGGCACCCTGGACTTCAGAGAATTTCCTTAGGCCTAAGGCAAGTGAGAGCTAAGCCGTGGGCTGAGAGTCACAGCCATCTCTTCCCTCTGTCTTCCCCTTCTGCAAGGTTCTGTTGTGTTCCTGGACTGATCTCAGTGTTGGGAATAAAAAGACCAGATACAGTTCTTCCTGCCATGGTGCATGGAGACAAGTGGTCTCCTGACAAAGCATGGGCACAGCTATGCCAGGGCCAGTGTGGAGGGCACTGCTGAGTGAGCGTGCATCTGTGCATCCACACTGATGGAGCTTGATCTGAGGAGGCTTTCTGGACAGGATGTCTGTGCCGAGCTTCAGAGGACAGCCCAGAACTCCCCTAGTTACCCTGGGGGAGATGGGGCAGTGAGGGGAGCTTAGAGCACAGGGCTGCCCTGGCACCAACTCAGGCTTTATTCTGAAGGCTTTCTGAAGCTATGAGAATCTGGAATTCGGCCTCCTACACTCCAAAAAATAAAGAGAAATGAAGCAATTAAAATGATTTCTTTGGGTTAAGGCAAAATGGCGGTGGGAGGGAGCAGTTTTGGTTGGGAAGCCATGGTAGATTCTCAGCTTGGCATGCATAGCTGTCTACTGTGCCTGTCAGGGGCTGGCCCTGCTGGAGGAATCCTAAAGGAAGAGGAGAGCTCATGCCCCTCCCTGTCTTTGGAAGTCACTTTATTTCCTCTTTCCTACTCTTTTATTCTCCCATTCCACTAGAAAGAAGATAAGTGGATTGCACTTTATGTCAGAGGACATCAGGGACAGGTAGGGACAGATCTAGGCCTCAGTCTCACATTGTGGGTAGCACAAGTCATGGCTTTGTGAGTACTCATCTTGGCCCAGCTGTGGGTGCCTTGTTGCTCACCAGTCTGTGTCCTACGTGGCACCCCTATTTGGAAACAAATCAGTCACAGCCACACAGAAGGACAATATTGCCATAAAACACAGTAGTAAATATCAAGGGGTCAAAAGTCAGATAGCTCTTGCATTTGAATACAGCCTTTGGTGCTCATCATTTGAGTGACCTTGGGAGAGTCACGTGATGTCACTGAGTCTCTCTTGCCATATCTGTTAGAATGTGGACACCTCCTAGGTGTGGTGGTGCCTGTCTGTAAACCCAGAGACTTGGGAGGCAGAGGCAGGAGGATGAGAAGGTCAAGGCCAGCCAAGGCAACTTAGTCTCAAAATAAAACATTGAAAAGAGCTGGAGATTTCGCTCAAGGGTGGGGTGTCCCTGGGTTCAGCCCCCAGTAACACACACACACACACACACACACACACACACAAAGGAGATAATATCACCTACCAAAGAGAGTGTTCCTGAGGAAGAAATGAAGTGAGAAATGCCTAACACACAGTCTGGCTCATGGCACGTCCTGAACAAATGGGGCTAATGCTTATTTGACCCATGCTAAGGGCAAGGGCCAGGCTGTCTGTTCACTGAACACCCATTGCACATGAATTGGCAGAAGATGAGATCTTGGCATTTGTGAATCACTAATCACTTTCTACCCTACACAATAGCAATTGCATGTGTCTTCTATCCCCCACTAGTTAGGAAGCTCCTGAGGGCAGAGTCTTCATTCCTCATGTGCCCCATGTGACACAGCCAGGTTCCTACCAAATAGGGCAGGTGTGGAATACACAGTGTGGAGCTGGAGTCCTTCACAATGTGCAGAGCTGCAGCTGGAGGCTCCCTGTGAAAACACAGAAGTGCTGGGAAGCAGCTACAGCCAGCAAAGCTGCCTGGCAGACAGTGGTCAGGCAAAAGTCCCAGATCATGTTCTATTCTGGGAGCTATTAGAGTTGTTTGTTGAGTTTAGAGAGGTTTTAAAGAGAGTGGGTCAAATGACCCTGCTAATAGGCTCAGATGGTTCTTTCAATAAAGTGTGAAAAGTTGTCAGTGACCTGTTAAGGGTGTAAAATGAAGGCCTTCTTCCTGAAATCCATTAAATTCTTTGCTGCCTCATGTGCTTCCCCTTAGAGAGAATTGAAGTGGTTAATTTTGGCAGCTGGTATGAGGTAATAATGAAACCTAAGGCATGGGTTGGCTCTCTTGAGCATCAGTTAATTTTATCCAGACATTAAAGGTCCCAGACAGGACCCAAGCCTCCTTTCCTCAGCATTCCAGGCAATTCACAAAACTTCGAATGTCATCTGCAGACCTGGATGAAGAGGTATTGGTGATGCCAGGTGAGACAATTCAGGTCATCTGTCTCACCCATCAGGAGCACTAGGAACTTGGTTCAAAGCCCCTTTCTTGTTGGGTGGTGCGCTGTCTCAGCTGTCAAGAGCAGTCTTTTGAAGTTAATATGAAGATATGATGAACCCCAAGATAACTCTTAGGTAGATATGCTGGCTTAGTTGGGGGAGCCCCAGTACCGTTTGGTCCCCAGCATCTAGCCAGGTACCTATGTCACCATGTCTGGAGTGCTCTCTTTGGCTAGCAGGATGAAGCCTCCCTTACTATGTGGCATGAGGAACACTGCAGAGGTACTCTTTCAGTGGATGAAACACTAGCTTTTAGATATAGTCAGAAATAGATTTTTAAGACAGTTAAAAACATAGTTCTTATACAAATGTAGAATGAGTACACGTTAAAGATTTACTCACTCATTAACAAGTGAAGCAAGAACATGGTAAATCTTGTCCAAAGAGTGTTTTGAGAAACTAGGCATTTATAGAGACTTAAGAAAGCTGTGCTAGAATACAGTGGCTAGGTTCAGCAGAGAACTAGTTATTGTCCTATGGAAAAGATACACTTTGATGAGCTTTTGTCTACTAAACCGGAATTATTTGCATCTCTACCCAATAAGATTTCCAGGTTAACACATAACCTCGCAAAATTTAAACTTTTTAAAACTAGAATTACATGAAGTTACCTTCCCCGGATAATTAATTACTCCTTGAGGAAGAGGATACATGTAAAACACTGTCCTTCGTGACCCTGAAAGAACGTCTTACATGCTCCTGGCCTTCTATCCAAGTTTTAGATAACTTAATGCCTAATTGAAGCCCAAGCTTTGCTAGTTATTTGGTGAGATGTTGGGGAAGCAGCCAGTAGGCCTTCTTCTCACCTGAAAATCAGCAGATGGTGTTTACTCTAGTGAGCATAAAAGGGGAATAAAAATGATCAGG